TATGGTTTATTAAACCATGATTGGTTGAGTTTGCTTTACAAAGTGATCTAGTGCTTAAGAGTTGTTAGATAGGGGCTGTATAGAAATTTCGTTAACAGGCAAAATAAAAAGACATAAGATATGGTTTAGAAACTACAGTAACTGACTTCACACAAAATGGTAAACAAAATAAACCATATTGTGTCTCACTGCAATGTGTAAGGAACTAAGGATAGACAATTCCTTATTTTTATATTCTGGTTTGCCAAAGTAAGTAGCAATATTATATCTCTGGAGCTGTTTCCATTTCTAACTAGTGATGAAGTCTTTTTTGCTTGCTTTCTGGTGCCTTATTATGAGAAGAATTCTGGGCTTCTGAAGGGGACAGCATAGACCTACTTAGATCATGAAGTTATATGGCTTGTTTCTGAATGATATTCCTGCCCCTCCAAACTTAGATTTTCATAGTAACACTGTGAGAAATGCCTCAGGTAAACAAGCAAAATTGCCGACAATGTTTTCCAGAACAGTTGGCAAACACTGTCCTTTTACCATGACCAATACAGTTAGCATGTAAAAGGGCTATTCCAGTCCTGATAGGGACTACATTCTTTGAAGTGCTGTGTTGACTGGTTTCACAAAAGTAGATCGCTTTAAAACTTGTTCTGTAAGCTGAATTGTATTTTTTTTTTAATTTGGAAAATAAAAAGCTGCTAGGTTGAATGGATGTATCTGGACACTTTTTAAACTGTTATCCAAGTATTAGTGTTGTGTCTCATGTTAGATATAAATGCTGTAAATTGCAAGTAGATATAAACATTCTATTTGCTTTTCCTGTTGGCATTTCCTGTTAAATGAGGTATTCAGTATTATATGGATCATGTTATAGGACACATGCCCCATATTTACCATTAAACAGCAGATGTGGAAGTGAAGTATACAGTGGAGAAATAATGAAATGTCTGATCATCATTAGTGGTAGTAGTTTGATTTCATCACAAATTTTAAATTGAGTATTTTCTTGGCAAAGTGTAAGACAAGTAAAATAATTCCATGCACACACATTGTGTAGGGCCCTTTTAATTTAATAAAGAAGCATGTGAAAAAATGGTTGGGTTTACCTCTTAGTCATACCAAGCAAACATACTATACAGATGCAGAAATATCTGTAATAAATGTGACTGAGTATTTAAATAGTACAAAAATTAAAATACTGGTACCAAGGTGAGCCAATATTTTAAAATTATTTTAAAAAATGTTTTCATTTGCTTGGTCACATTTTGTGTTTATAATTTCAAATTATAAAGGGTTATACATTTTCTGAATATATCTGTCAAAATATGTATAGATCTTGGGTTGTAATTGATGAAGGCTATTTGGTATATGGAAGTTAGTAACTTTAAATCATGTATCAAGCTGTTGAACCATTCTTTCTGGATTTTAGCTATATCCCTAAATTGATGACAATCTAAGCAAAGATGGAAGAGAGTTTTCATGATGAACCTAGCATATTATTATGCTTCTAAACCTAGACTCCCTTTTGGGGATTGATGGCACATTAGGAACGTCAAGAGCATGTTACAGCACTCCTACAAAATGTCTACCATGGTGTGTCCCATCACTGTCTCTAGCTTCCTAGGATACTTTCTGTAGAACTTCTGTTTATCTTTTTAAATCACATTTCCAAAGAAAGCAGCGGGGTGCAGCTACTCCGTGTGTGTGTGTGTGTGTGTGTGTGTGTGTGTGTGTGTTTTCTCCAGCCAGTTTAGTACTGATCTTCTGAACCTGTTTTAAGTTCTTCCTCTTCCTCCAAAGAACAGGCAGGAGCCCAGCAGGCTTGGATTGAGTACTGTAAAGAGCTCACAATCTCCAGCAGCTGCCCCAGGTGGCTCACCTCTTCCCTCTTGCTTAAAGCAGGCTTATTAATTCTATAAATCAGCAACCCCAGAGACATGTTGTTATGTGGATGAGTTCACAAACTAAATTTTTAAATCTTTATCTTCACATATTTGCAGATAAACCCTAGCAAGATGATTTATCAGTAAAAAATATGAATGTGTGAAACAATTGGATGCCCATAAAATCTACTTGAATAAAAAGGGATTTGATCTTTCACATAAATTCCTGAAATATTACAGCATTTTCTTCTTTTTCTTTCGTTTGTTGTTATTCAGTTGCTTGATTGCTTCCCACTCTTTATGGCTTAGTGGACAACACTTTACCAAGTTTTTCTCTCAATAATTTGCTTTTTTGTGTTCTTGTAGCTTATACTTGTATCATCAGTGATAATATCTGACCATGTCCTCTGTTGTCTGTTTTTTGGTTGCTTTTAATTTTTGCAAACATCATGATCTTCTTCAGTGACTCTAGCCTTCGTATTATTTGTCCAAAATATCTAAGCCTTTTACTTCATCTTATAATGGAGTTATATGTTCTTCTTGTAGTCTAAGATATACTAAACCATTTTCTCCAGCAGCACAGTTCAAAGACATCATTTTTTCTTCATCCAGCGTTCCTAATGATCCAGCTTTTACAGCCAGATGTAACAACTGGGAAAACAATAGCCTTGACAATATCTCCCTTTGCTGTCAGTGTGATATCTCTGCAATTTAATATTTGTTTTAGATTTATCATAGTCTTCCTCCCAAGTAGTGGCCACCTCTAGTTCATGGCTATAGTTACCATCCCTGCAAATGTTGATCCTAAGAAGGTGAAATCTGCCATTACTTCAACTTCCCTGCCTATTTGCATTGGGCTGGCATTACCTTTTGACACCTTACTTAAAATATATACTGTATATATATATATATAGAGAGAGAGAGAATGCGCCTGCGCGCGCAACAGAAGCTTCTCAACAAGGGATTACTTAAATCTTCCTCACTTCCACCCATCAAAGTGGTATCATCTGCATAACTGCAGTGGTTGAGTTTTCTCCTAGCAATTTTAATTCCAAATTCTGTTTCTCCTAGGTCAGCATTTCTCATGATATATTCTGCATATAAGCTGAATAAATAAGGTGACAATATACATTCTTGGCACACTTCTTTCCCAGTTTTGAACCACTTCATTGCTCTATATTCTGTTAATTGCTGATTCTTGGCCATCACAAAAATTCCTCAGTAGTTAGATAAAGTGGCTTGGTACATATGTTTTTAAAGGCTAAACAAATTTGTTACGGTCTATACATTTGCCTTCTTTGCAGCCATAGCACATTGCTGGGTCATATCAGTTTGCAGTAGTCTAAGATTCTAAGATCTTTTTCACAGGTACCAGTATCAAGCCTGTTGTTCCTCATCTGGTACTTGTGCATTTAATTTTTATTTCCAAAGTGAAGAATTTTGCAGTAGTTGCTGTAAAAAGTTTGTTGTTACTTTCAACCCATTTCTTCATACTCCAGCCAAGTTCGTTCATTTTGATTTCTGAGCAGGAATGTGTATTTTTGACATATAGTGCAACTTTATGTTCTTTTCTACTGCTTCTGGTCCTTTTGGACAGATATTATCCTTTAATTACTGTATTCCTTTCATGGGAGTCATTCCACCAGATTTCCATTATACCAATTAAAACATATTTGCCCTTTTGTACTAAGAGCTGAAGCTCAGCTTGTTTTCATGTTTCCCATATTTTGAGCATTATTGTTTGGACAGTGAAGCTTCTTTCTGATTTTTCTTGAGTGATTTTTTCTTGAGTGGTTTAAGAGCATTTAGTAACATTTTCATTTTATACAGTGCATAACTCTGAGGTTCTTAATTCAGAGTTTTTGTTCTATCACAACAGGATTCAGTTTAAACTCCTCTTAATTTTGCTTTGTCTAAATACATTTTTGCTAATCCATGTGAGGTGCAACCCATCATATGTGAGCAGCCTACCATTTTGGTTCCTCAGGCAATGGTTCTAGAAACCAAATCTCTCCAGTGGCCACATTTTGCATAGGCAGTCATTAATTTGCATTATCACTCTTTTTCTTTCCATGGACTGGGAAAATAGATGATAGTATTGTCTAAGCCCCCAGAGTTTGAAATTCCTTCCAAGATTTTACATATCTGTGGTAATATGGTTGTAGTTGTTCTTTACAATATTGTCTCAAAGTGTATCAATAGGAAAGAATTATTTACTGAATTTGATAAGTCTTCAAAGTTCTGTTGCATCCTTGATCCTGACATTACAATATACTCAAGGAGACAGAGGGTCCTGCCAATATATGTTTGTTTCAGATCATTATAGTGGTGCATCAATGACTCTTCTCTTTGTTTTATTATAGGGCACAGTTGTGCTTTTTCTGTCCTTTACGGATTCATCATTGTGTCTCCCATTTTACAGTGTCTCTTTTTCTTCCTCTGAATATGCAGAGCCTGTTTTATCTGTAGGGCTCTGAAAATTTCTTGAATTTTTGCTGTGCAGAATATCTTCTACCTTTCTAGCTTCTGGTCCTTACTCTTATCCACTGCGTTTGCTCCTCTGGGTCTTCCTTGTAGAGAATTGTTTTCACTGTCCATTTCTCTTGTTGAGAAATTGCTTTCACTGTCCATGTCTCTTGTTGAGCCTTTTTTCTTTGAACTGATAAATCCCTGCCTTTCTCATCAACTGTGGTTGCTCTCTGTTCCAGTGCTTTGACTTTTTCTTCAAAGACCGATACAAGCTCACATTTGCTGAAAATATATCTGTGGTTGTTTTTAGGAAGGAAGGAAAACATGCCACAAGCATTGCAGGTCATAACTGTACGTTGTGTTAATTGATTCTCACTTTATCTTTTTAGATCACCACCAGTAGAAAGGTTTTTATTTCTTCCTTTTGTTCCTTTCTCAGGCTCTTACCATAGCCAGCTGCATTCTTGACTTAGAGGGAATAATTGTTAGGGAATCCCTTGCTGGGCTCCCTAAGTAAATTCCTGTTAGGTTTCCCTCTTCTCTTGCTTGGTAAGCTTATTTATTGGACCAGAGTAAGATTGTTATTTGAAAATTATGGTATCTTGATTAATTTTTTATTCAAAATCATGGGGGAACACACTATATGCTTAAACATTATTCTTTTTTTCTTGTAGGGCACAAAAATTGAGCAATGAATAAATTACGGCAGAGCTTCAGGAGAAAGAAAGATGTCTACGTGCCTGAAGCCAGTAGACCACACCAATGGCAGACAGATGAAGAAGGGGTTCGAACTGGAAAATGCAGCTTCCCGGTTAAGGTAAATTGGGGTTCTCCGTTCTTTTTAGTCTAGTAAGCACATTTGAATTTTTGAGAAAACATACACATAGAAATACACACACAGATTCCTCTTTGCATATACAAACCCAGAACCCCTTTCCCCTTATTTGTTTTCCTCTTTCCTCTTTGCTCTTCCATCTTCAGTTTTATCTCTGCTGTCACCCCAGTTTCCTAGAAAAGTTGCTGCTGCTTCTTCTTTTCTGTGAACTGAAAAACAGCAGAGAGTAAAGTGAGGGGGGAAGAACAAAGAGAAGAGGCAAATGAGGAACAAATTTGTGAAGGTGTGTGTTTATGTGTGCATGTGTGCATGCGAGAATAGCTGAATATATAAGAACAAGTGATTTTGTATGTGTGAGAATAATAGGATGATCTAGAAGGGGAATTTTATGTGTATGTGTCTGGGTGTATGTAAAAACACATCTCTGCCTTATTCTTCTTTCATTTCTAAAAATGTTTTGAATTCATGTTTAGCTCTAGAGGATGTGCTGCTTTCCAAAAATCATTATTATTTTTTTTTTTTAATAAAGGATGGGAGGATTGGGGACTTGGCAGGGACTAGGAATGTTCTGGCTCTGACTACTGCATTGCTGATCTCAGAGGTGAATATATATAGATGTGGTTTACACATTGTGTTAAGCCCCAGTTTAATTAACCATAGCTTATTGGGTATAAAACACAGCTGGCTAGGCTTGCATCACACTGTGCTATAAACCATGATTTAGAAATCATGATGGCTGGTTCCCACAACATGGTTAAGCAAAACATAACAAATCAAATTATGGCTTAAAGCAGGAGTTCTTAGACTGTAGGTCGTGACCCTCCCCTCCCCCAAATATAAGGAGGATCACAGATTCCTGGGTACCTAGAAAGGTTGAAAAGTGGATGGAGAGGGGGTGCAGCCCCTGCAGAGCTGTGACTCCTGGTCATGGCAGGAAGAAAGAAGCCCATGCCTCATGTAGTAGCTGAGGAAGAGGAGAGGCACAGTCTGGTTGCCATTTGCTCTGGAGGATGGGAAATTAATAGTGCAGCTGGAATCATCCAACATGCTAAGAAGACCAAAGGAAACCATCTGGCTCTGGGTTGACATGTTTTGTGAATGCAGCCAAGGTGGCTCCAGCCTTCAGCAGTCAGAAGGGTTGAAAAGCATGCAGGGAGCACAGCATCTGCAGAGCTCCAGCTTCTAAGCAAAAAATAGGAGTTTGTATCAACAGCCAATGGCCAGGCCAGGCCTAGGCCAGGAATTCTCTTCAGTGCTGGGAAGAAAGTGGGTGACTGCGAGCTGCCAGTCGAAACAGAGCACCCAAGTTGCTGCATCTGCCATTGCTGGGCAGTGCTGTTGCTAGTGCAAGAGGTCAGAAATCTGGCCATCTGCCTGCCCATCCCTCGGAAGTGTTTGCACCCAGTGGCATGTGGGCAGATAAAGCAGTCCATTTCTTGGGAGCAGCTGCTGTGCTGCCAGAGAAAGGCACTGGCAGGAGCTTTCTCCCAATTTCAGAAGCAGGAAAGTGATGGGAGTTGAGGGTAATGGGATTTGGCATCTTGATCTTTCAGAATGCAGTTCAAACAGCCCCACACAACGGGAACAAGTTTAATTCCTTCAGTAGCTATTGATATCCATGTCAATATTTGTTGTTACTGTTGTTATTATACATGGAGGGGTCACACAAATTCATTTATTTAGAGGGATCATGGCACCACAAAGTTTGAAAACTGACTTAGAGTGATGGGTGAACTGGGTCATTTTCTTTTTCAGTGAACTTCTAAATGCCATATACTGTATGTTTGCTTGGTTCATATTAGCACTTTACCAAATAACTTCTGATAATCTCCTTTTATACAAAATTATTATTACTCTCTAATCTACACCCAAGGTTCACAAATATTTTAAGGCTATGGGTTGTACTTAGCTTTTGAGTAGGATGCTAGGGTAGATGGCACCAGGGGAAAAACACTAAGTTTCAGTAATTTAAAATTGCATAATATAGTTTGGTTACTGCTCTTTTCATTGTTAGACATAGTACTATTTCTTTCTACCCTTTCCAAATTGGGCAACTTTTGGAGTAGTTCTGGGAAGTTTGACCATAAAATTTTCAGATGCTGAATGCAACTCCAACCCTCAGGTTTTGGAATTCCTGATCTTTCCATTTTAATTCATGGATTAAATCTGCATATGTTTGTACACATATAAAATCAACAGCCCTAAAGGAAATACAAATGTTGTTAAATAATGCAAATGTGTGTTACTACAGATATTTTAGAGGCACTTATTGATTTATTAAACAAACTTAGATATCCACCCATCTACCAGAAGGAACTCTGGACAGCAAACAGGATAAAAACACAATACACTAAAAAGACAATTTAAAACACTAAACTACATTCAGGCCCCAGTAAACCTTGCATTCATTTATTTATCAACCACTCTATGCCAGCAACATCAACATCCTGGCCCCAGTGCCTGAGGGAAAATCCAGGCCTTCTCTGCTTTTCTGTAGGCCAGTAGGGTCTGGGCCATCTGTATCTCTGGAGGGAAGCTGTTCCTTAAGGCAGTTCCTATGACAAAACATGCTTCCAAGGCCCCACCAGGTGACCTTGTTTTACTGAGGGGACTTGGAGCATGCCCATCCTGTCATATCTAGTAGGAGAGGCAGAAACTATTGGAGATAGGCAATCTCACAAGTAACCTGGCCCCATGCCATGTAGGGCTTTAAAGGTGACAACTAGCACTTTGAATTGCACCCAGAAACCTACTGGAAGCTGGTGCAGCTCACACAGCAGCAGTATTACATGGGCATACCAAGTTGTGTCCACTGCTACCTGTGCTGCTGCATTCCGGACCAGCTGCAGCTTCCAAATGCTCTTCAAGGGCAGCCCCATGCATTGCAACAGTCCACTTGGAAGGTGACTAAGGTGTGAGTGACCATGAGCAGTGCACCCCAATCTAGGAAAGGGCTCAACTGGTGCACAAGATGTATTTGTGCAAAAGGTTTCCTGGCCACAGATGATACCTGCTCTTCGAGCTAAGCTGTGCGTCCAGAAGAACCTCCAGATTGTGCACCAGCTCTAATTGGGGGAATGTCGCCCCAGCTAGAGTTAAAGATGGCAAATCACTAGATATGGAACACCCTAAAACCCACAGCCACTCAGGTTTGTCATGGTTGAGCTGAAGCCAGTTTTCCTTATCCAGGCCCATACAGCCGTCTGGCACTGGGAAAGTACCTCAATTATATCACTTCGGCACCCCGGGGTAGAGATATACAGCTAAGTGTCATCAATATACAGATGGTACTTTACCCTGTGCCAGTTGATGTTCTCATCCAGCAGTTTCATGTAGATACTAAATAGGAGTGGGGGGTTGAGCCCTGCGGCACTCCACAAAGCAGGGGCCTAAGGCTAGATCTCTCCCCTCCCTCCCAACACCAACTGGCCTTGGAGGAAGGAGGAGAACCACTGAAGAACTGCCTCCCATTCCCAACCCCTTCAGCTGAGTCAGAAGGATACCATGATTGATGGTATTGAAAGCTGCTGAGAGATCAAGTAGCGCCTGGATAGGGATACACCATCCCCATCCTGGGCCTGCAAGAGGTCATTCACAAGCATGATCACTGCCATCTTGGTACGGGTTCAGGTTATCCACTTGAAGCTGTAGGCCTACCACCTTCCCAATAATCTTCGGCAAGAAGAGAAGGTTGGACACTGGATGAAAATTGTCCGGCACTGCTGGGTCCAGTGATGACCTCTTGAGGAGGGGACAGACCACCACTTCCTTCAGAGCAGGTGGACTGTTCCCTCCTGCAAAGAAGCATCCTGGATCCAGAATGAATTACCATACTGGAAAACTTATTTAAACATTGCACTGGCAGAATTTTGTAAGCCTGTTAATTGAAATACTGTTAACCTTCTGCTCTGTTCAGAGGGTATTTTAATCAAAATGTCCCTATCTATAAAATAAATGTTCTCCAGATTGCTAGGATTATAAAAGCTTCTGCATGTCTTTCATGTTAGTCAGAAATACATAGTTTTATATAAAAAGTTAATTATAGAAAATTGCTAGCAAAGGCAAGAAGTGTGATTCACACTACAAAGTGGTAAAAATATATATATATTCTTGCTCTATTTCCCACAGAGAGTCCGTCTCCTCTGTGGGTAAATTCTTCATATGCTTAGCATCTTGAAATAATTTCTGATAAACAGAAATACTTTTTTTTAAATGATGCTCCTAACCCTGGTTTTTTTGTTTTTGTTTTTGGTCTTTTGATTACTTAGATGCGAGGAGGTGACAAATGGCTGAGCTAAAGGAAGCAATTTTAAATGGATATAAAGGGAGAGTTCATAACAACCTAAGACTAACTGGGTTACAAAAATCAGCAGTTTTCTTTAACACTAAGGTTTTACAGTGGTGCTGTAGGACAACTTAGTAACATTCCGGTCCTAAATTTAGCAAAAGCTCTGTAGTTTTAAAAAATACTTCATATCCTTTTCTGGATTTAAAGGTTGTTACCTTTAAAGCCCTATATGGCACGGGATCAGGTTATTTGCGGGACCACCTCTCCCTAAGGACATCAGCCCATCCTACCAGATTGGATAAGGTGGGTACGCTCCTAGTCCCCTCGCTTAAATGTTGCCATCTTATGGGACCTAGGAAGCATGCCTTCTCTGTGACAGACCCTGCCCTATGGAAGACCCTTCCCCCTGAAATTCAGCAGCCCCCTGCCCATTTAACCTCCCGAAAAGCACTCAAGACCTGGCTTTTCCCCAAAGTGCTGGGGTAGGGGAGCTTTGTGAGATGAACCTGTTGTGGGCTGCATGGGAAAGTTTAGCTGTGGTGCCAGGTCTTTTGGTTTTAATGTTTTTATTGCACATAGATGTGGTTTTATCTCTTGGTTGTGAGCTGTCCAGAGTTTGGTACGAGGTGGTTGTCCTGTTTGTCTGGAGATTGTTTTCTAGTATTTGTATTTCTGGGTTTCTTTTAATGGCAGA